GCTCCACTGCGCCTCGTGCGCAGCTTGGACTATCTCGGCTCATCTGCTGAAGGAGGCTGGCTCCTGTCGGCGGTGGACAAACCTCCCTTTAGTAAACCTCCCCTCAGCGAAAACGGCCTGGGACCGAATTCGACGGACCTGGACGCACAAAAATGACGGCCGCGACGCCATCTCGCGAACCGGAAACGGCCAATTCCTTCATCGACGCGTCAGGGTGGGAGGTATATCCACCCCCAGTGTAGAAGCAAGGAAGAGGCACCCAGCCCAGCGCGGTCTCGATTGGACCCTCGACTGGGGCGCCGCCACGCCTGCCCCCCGCAGGGTCATCGGACACGGCGCCCCGTCGGCCAGGCACGCCACACCCCAGGCCCAGGAGCAGGAGGAGGAGCAGGAGCAGGAAATAGAGTTCTCTCCAATGCGCGAGCTTAGCGGAGCCTCCCCGACCGCCCCTCTCCTCCACCGAGTGTTTCCAGGACCGCACTGTCGCACCCTGTGGTTCCACGCACCCTTCTCCTGTCGATCTGCCGGTGCCATTCTACACTCTGCACCCTCGCCTCCTCCTCCTCCTCATCATCCTCCTATTATTTATCATATCATCATCATCATCATCATCATCATCATCATCATCATCATCATCATCATCATCATCATCATCATCATCATCATCATCATCATCATCATCATCACATCATCATCATCATCATCATCATCATCATCATCATCATCATCATCATCATCATCATCATCATCATCATCATCATCATCATCATCATCATCATCATCATCATCATCATCATCATCATCATCACCGTCATCATCATCGTCATCATCACCACCACCACCATTATCATGACCATCGCCATCATCATCATCATCACCATCACCACCACCACCATCATCATCATCATCATCATCATCATCATCATCATCATCATCATCATCATCATCATTATCAGCATTATCATCGTCATCATCGTCATCATCATCAGCAGCAGCATCAGCATCAGCATCAGCATCATCATCATCCTCAGCATCATCATTGTCATCGTCATCATCACCATTATCGCCATCCCCATCACCATCGTCGTCATCAGCAGCATCAGCATCAGCATCAGCATCAACATCATTAGCAGCATCATCATCAGCATCATCATGGTCATGATCATCATGCCCCCCGCGTGCGCAGGGAAAGAGAGGAGGAGGGCAGCAGGAGGAGGAGGGAAGGGAGGCAGGGAAAGAGGCAGGGAGAGAGAGAGAGAGAGAAAGAAAGAAAGAAAGAAAGATGGAGGGAGAAAGGAGGAACGATCATCCCTCCTCCTCCTCCTCTTCCTCCTCCTCCTCCTCGTCCTTCTCCGCATCCTCTTGCCCGTCACTGGGCAGGCGCCGCCTCCTGGTCCACAACAAAGAAGCCACTGTTGGAGCCTGCGGCGGATCTCGCGCGGGAGGCAAAGGAGGACGGGCTGCAGAGGGGCAGCTGCCGGAGGACCCGGGATCGACCAGCATCGAATCGGGAAGTCGGGCAGCAAGGGAGCTGGCGACGGATCGGACCGCATCGGCACGGCCAGGGTGCACAACGGCGCCACAGAGGCAGCGGGCCGCACCGGACCGTCGCGGCATCGGGGTCGAATCGTGCCGGGTCGGCCGAGATCGAAACCGAATCGAATTGATCGGATCGAACTTGACCCCGAGGTGCTGGAGGACCGAAGATCCACCGCTCTGGCCCTTCTCGGGCCTCCGAAGGCCTCCGCGGATCTCCATGGTGGGAGCCTCCCAAGTGGGGCCCGAGAGGATGGGGCCGGAGGATCGCGCCGCATCGCCCACGCCAGCGATGGTTCGTGACACCGCGCGCCTCGTTCCACCTTGACCGATCGCGGCCTGCTGACAGCACGGATCGTTCGATGGCGGCTGACTCTAGGCCACTGGCGGCGATGTACAAGGAAGGCCCTCGCTGGGCCCAGATCCCCGACGTCGTGATGCCTCAGTGGCTCTTCGCTGAAGAGTTCTCGCAGAGATGAGAAGGGACCACAGAGGAGTCCCACAGATAAGGGGCCACATGCGAACCCTACCCCACCCCCCCCCGATTTCTGAGGGGGAGGGTGGGGTTCACTTCGTGCGGGAGCTCCCGAGCGAAGTGAACCCCACCCACCCCCACAGAAATCGTGGGTGGTGGGGGTAGGGTTCGCATGTGGCCCCCGAGAGACCGCCCTGTGGGGAAGCGGTCTGGCGGCCGCTTCGCCGGAGACGTCCTCACAATCTGCTCCGGAAGCGCAGCCTCGCCTCCATTGCCGGCTACACTCTCCTCGTCTGGACGGTCAAAGATGCCTGGTAGAAGTACGCGCGTAGGGTGCACACGGCCACGTCTCGCACATGGCCGTGTCTCGGCATCCTACTCCTCGACCAGCCCCTACACCTTTGCTGCTATCAGGGTGCTTTGCTGGGGCAAGCTTTCACGACGTGGGCCCCCTGCTGCGACCCCTTCCGATGATCCTCAGAACACGTGTTGGCACCAACGCGTGCGGAGCTCCAGGGGTGATCTGCTGCGATTTGCCACGCTTTTCGACAACGTCAGATCTGAGTGGACGTGTGTGAACACCAGCGCGTGCTTGTCCAACGAAGCGTTTCAATACGACGCAGCGCGGCGTGACGAGGGACGGTACAGGCTGTGTGCTGTCGGCGGAGCCGAACGGGAGAAAATTCTCACTGGGCTGACACACGTCCTGAGGATCATCGCCTCCGAGAGGCCGCCTCTGTCATTCGGAGAAGGCGCAGCCCCCGACGCATGGCCGCCAGTGCCGCCCCGTTTGGCGGCGGAGCGCGCCGGCTCGTGCACGTCGGCCGGAAGAGGCAGGTAAAAACGTGAAGTGGGAAGGCGGACATGAAGAGCAGACTGGGTGCAGGCCCTCCGAGGGAAGGACAGGACACGGCAGAAGCAGGTCGACTCTTGAAGCAGGAAGGCGCCGAAAGTATGTTGGGACTGGGGCATGCAAAAATCAGCCGACCCTGTCGGCGTGTGGGAGAGGCTGTTCCGTTTGACTCGTCGTCGGGCCCTCCTCCTCGAGCGCGCCAGCCACAGCAAAATTCAGCAACGTTGCAGTTGAGTCGAAAGGAAGCCCCTTCCCTTTGATCCCTTCCCCGCCGGGGGTGGGGGGGTCCTTTGGGTCCCAGGGGGGGTCCTGGGGGGGTCCGGGCGGGGTCCACGGGGGGTCCTGGGGCAGATACGACTCCCCCACTCCTCGCCACTCCCGTTTCCCTCCCTCTCCTGACCATTCTTTTCCTCTTTCGGCCACGGACGCGCTGCCCAAAAAACAGTTGGTCGTCCATCGTCGTCGTGAGCGCCGTAGTCGTCATCGTCGACGTCGTGGTCGTCGTCGTCGTCGTGGTCACGTCGTCCATCTCCACCATCAGCCTTTCCGGGGAACCACCCCGGACAAGAGTATGTGTGCACCCTCCCCCTTGTGTTCCTCAACCTCGTGAGCCTCCCCATGCGCGCCCTCATCCTCCTCCGCCTCTTACTCCCGCTCCTCCTCGGCCTCGGGCTCCTCCTATTCATCCCATTCCTCTTCCCCCTCATTACCATCATCCTCACGTCCCTACTCCTCCTCCAACTTCTCCTGCCGCCGGTTTCACACCACCACCACCAGCCCCTCCCTCAACGACATCATCATCGTCATCATCACCGACATCATCCGCGTCGTCGTCATCATCATCAACATACTCGTCATTGCTTTCCTCCTCCGTCTCCTGCTGCTCATGCTCGCCACGCTCTACCCACTGTTGCTCCTCCTCCTTGTCAGCCGTCCTTCTCCTGCAAATGCGTCCCTGCTCGCCTCGCTCTCTCCCCTGCTCTCCCCCCCTCCTCGTCTTCTCCTCTTCGTCCCTCTCCCCCCCTTCCTCGTCCTCCTCCTCCCCCCTCGCACCTCCTCCTCCTCCTCCTCCTCCTCCTCCTCCTCCTCCTCCTCCTCGCCCCTCCTGCTCCCTAGCGTCCTACGGCACCTGCTCCTCAACATCCTCGTCGTCCTCGTCGTCGCCGTCTTCAAGGTCAGCGGCACCGGCCGCAAGGCCTTCGCAATAGGCCGCAAGGCCTTCGCAATACAACCGTCGGTCGGAAGAAGTAGGTAAAAACATGAATAGGAAGGCGGATTAAGTAGACTGGGGACAGGCCCTCCCAGAGAACAACAAACACAGCAGAAGCAGATCGATGTTTGAAGTAGGAAGGCACCTAAAGCAGATCGGGACTGGGGCACCCAACAATGCATGCCTTCAACGACCGGCGTGTATGAGCATCCTTCAACCGGTCCCTATCCCCACTGGCGTGGCCTGTGCCACACTGGGCGATTTACCCCCCTGAAAGGGGATATGGGCGGTTCCCTTCGGGTTTCGAGTGGCCTATCCCCAACTGGGGTGGTGGCATGGCGGGACTGAGATACCATGGCCTGGTGGGGAGGGGGACGGGTTCAACGATGCCGAGCGCAACCGCCCCCCGACGCCTGGCGCTGGTGCCGCCCCCCAGTGGGCGGCGCGGCGCGCCGACGCGCACCCGCCGCTGCCCCGCGCGCCCCGACCCGTGCGCTCCCGCCGCGCCCTCGGCCGACAGGCGGAGGCCTCCTCGGCCTCCCGCGGGGGCCTCCGCCTCGCGAGGCGCGCCGCCGAGCCGCTGGCGGCCCAGCGCCTCGCGCCTCGCGCCCCGCGCCTCGCGCCCCGCGCCAGGCGCGGTCCACAGGTCATGCGGCTCCAAAGAGAGGGCCCCAGGGGAAGGCTCCTCCTCCTCCTCCTCCTCCTCCGAGCTCTCGAGGCGGGCGGTGCCGAGTTCTCGAGTCCCCTCGGCTTCGCCCGCAAGGTCGCCGCAGGACGCTTTCGCTCGCACGTTCCGAAGTCTTCGGTTTGCTCTGTTTGGCCTTGACGAGGTCTTCGCGCAGCGCACGCGCACGCGCACGCTCTGAGGCGAGGGCGAGGCCCACCAAGGGCAGCCACGCGGAACTGCTCCGTGACGAGGAGCAGAGATGAAGAAAACAGTGGCTGAGAGCGAGCACAACCACAGGCCTGCCAGGGCGCATCACGAATGCCTCTGTGCACGCGTAATAGACTTCGCTGCAAGGAGTAGTGGATGGGAGGAGGAGGAGGAGGAGGAGGAGGAGGAGGAGGAGGAGGAGGAGGAGGAGGATGAGAGGAGGATCGAGAGGAGATCTTGGGTACACCGTGGAGAACGCGCCACTGCAGAGTGGCTGAGCACCGCCTGTGTGAATTGTACATAAGACCGGGCGGAGGACACGATGAGAGAAACGGAGAGGAGGTGGAGGAGGAACGGGGGGGAGGGGAGGAGGGAGGGGGGGATGGCCCTTGGTGCCAAAAGCGGCAAAAGACGACTCTCTGCAAACTGCGGCAATCAAGGGATTCCGTCCCAGAATTGCCAGCGGACCCTTTCGCATAAGAGCAGCCGATACCACAAACCAGAGTCAGTCAAGAAATGCTCGATTCGAAAAGGGCGAGGCGATGTCGAAGAACTCATGCTTCAAGCACCTGCCTCTCCCCTCGCAGAAGAGCAATCCATCCCTGGCATTCCCGATCCCTCATCTGTTACAGCCTCCCGTCGCACCTCGAGCAGTTGCCTTCGAGAGCATTAAGCTAACACGATGACGAAATTTGCCGCGGACATCTGGACAGGTTGTAAAAAACGCTGGCCAGTGCTGCCGCCTGGAGGACTCACTTCCTCCCAGCGGCGGCAAAAACCTGTGTGCGTCTGCATGCGCCATCGAGTCGGAACGCAACGAACCTTCAAATCATTTGTACCCATATGTACGGTTTACGCCCGCAGCGCGGCCAGTCCGTTGGTCCAGCGCAAAAAGCGGGGCGTCAGAGAGAGATGTCGTGTGCTCGTTGTCTCAGGATGAAGCGGCCGCGACAAAGATAGTTCAAGAGAATTCTCCAGAGACTGCGCGCGCACAGCAAATCTGCTAGCGTGACATATCTCCTTGCTACCCTCCGTCCTTATCCTATCCTGCCTTGATTGAATTGGTTGGGGGTCCTCTTGAGTTGTTGTGTTCCCTCCGGACAACCTCCAGGGCCGTCTGGTGGTCATCCTGGGGAGTGCACCATCCCAGAGCGGCGCGCGGGCGGAGGAGAGAGGAAGAAAGAATAGAAAAAGAACCGAGAGGAGAAAACACACCGCGTCTAATTCCTCGGCTCGTGCAACTGGCTCGTGCAGCTACCCGGCTCTTCCGGCTGGCTCGTGCAGCCCAAGACCGCATGTCCGCCTCGTCGCGTTCGGCCTTCGAGACAAATCGGCAAATATGCTCGCCGCAGGGACGAACATTTGTGCAGAAGCGCGGTGACGAACATGCGGGATGCTGGCTGGCACTGGCAAAACACCGTCGGAGGCAGAAAACGCATCCTGGAAACCCATAAAGGCGATGCCGAAGAACTCATGCTTCAGACACCTGCCCCTTCTACTACAGGACTACGCAACTAGAGGAAATACGATGCACATGGGGGATGATATCATGACGTCTCAAGCGCGACCGTGCATCGGCGCTCGTCCTTGTCAGTCAGAGCTTGGCCTGAACAGAGGAAATACCATTCGACTCCGTGGACGCAGCGTCACTCCCCCAACGCTAGCCTCACGATCACTACCGCGGCACCTGGCCACTGCCGAAGCACACAATATGCCTCGCAGCAAGATGCAACAGTCTTGTCAAAATAAGAAAAAATCTGGGGCGCCGCCACGCGAGCGGGCACGAGGCTGCGTTGGCAACCGCCCTGGGCAGCCGCGAAAGGCCTGCGAAAAATAAAACGAGGCACGTGGGCTCTCGCAACGACGACGTGAGTGCATAACGTGACCATCAACTGATCAGACTGAAATCACTGTCGTCGTATACGTCGCTGTCCCACCACGAATTCTCAGCCCAGTCGACACAGGTGTCCCCGTTGATGTCTTCGGCTCGTTCGTCCACTCTGTCGCTGCGTCCACCATCGACCAAATCCACGAGGCTGTGGTTACCTTGCGGAGCCTCCTGCCACCCCTACTGCATGCGCAACACATATCCATAGCTTTGAAATCGTCGTCGTCGAACAGTGAACAAAACTCTGGGAAAGAATACAACCAAGAATCGCAACCATTACCGAGAATGTCAACCGCTCCCTCCGAAATGTCCTCGCAAAAGCCTGGTGGGTCGTCCATGTCAACCTGGGTCGTGCTTGCTGTGTCCGGACTCTGGCAAGTGTCGGGCCAGTCGCAGGAGTCATAGCCAAGCAAGCCAGCCGGACGAGTTGTTCTGCACGCCAAGCCATCCATGCAAGCTTCACGGCGGTCCACAGTCTCCTTGCTGCCGTCCTCGCAGAAACGGTAGCAAACATCGCCCTCCATCATATTCCCTGCTGGTTCGCTAGCTGATGTCTGAGAGCTGGTACTTGTGGCCGTCGGGGTACTTGTGGCCGTCGGGGTGAGCGAGCCTGTCGTGGTTACGGCAGCTACGGCATTCGTTCCACCGCCCCCGCATACGCAGCACATGTACATGGCCGTGAAATCGTCGTCGTCGAACATTGAACAAAAACCGGAAAGAGAATACAACCAAGCATCGCAACCATTACCGAGAATGTCAACCGCTCCCTCCGAAATGTCCTCGCAAAAGCCTGGTGGGTCGTCCATGTCAACCTGGGTCGTGCTTGCTGTGTCCGGACTCTGGCAGGTGTCGGGCCAGTCGCAGGAGTCATAGCCAAGCAAGCCAGCCGGACGAGTTGTTCTGCACGCCAAGCCATCCATGCAAGCTTCACGGCGGTCCAGTGTCTCCTTGCTGCCGTCCTCGCAGAAACGGTAGCAAACATCGCCCTCCATCATATTCCCTGCCGTCACGATGTCCGCAAGAGCGGCGACCACGAAAACGAACATCATGTCTTCTTCGGTTGACCGCGGGGTGCCCGCTGGAGATTGCGGCTGCTTCAAAGTGGCCTGAACTGGTAGACGTGGGCCAAAGGCTTGAGCCAAAAAGACTTGAGACAAAATGGCTACGGAGGAGCCTCCCATACCATCTTGTCAGCTATTGCGAATCGACGCTAATCGACACCAGATTGACGCTTATCGACGCTAAAAATCGACGCTAATCGACGCCAACCGACGCTAAATCGGCGCTGTCTCATCGACTCCCAGACGCTAATCGACGCTAATCGACGCAAAGACCGAATTCAGAGGGCACACCAGGCTCCCATGGCCTGCTACCGAAAATGGACAAGCGCGTCCCACTACTCGCACAGTAACTACTCGCATATGGCCTGGACCCGCCGCGGGGGATTTACGATACATCACAACGAGGCGGACATGTATTTTTTCTGACGCTTGCGAATAGGCACTTTGCGAGTAGTGTTGTGGATGCCACGGCAATGAACACCCTAACAGTCCTGTCATCGAATTTACAATGTGTTTAACATGTCGGAAAAATATTCTGAACATGATTCAAACATGTTTTACACATGTCTAAAACATATTTAACACATGTTTTAGAAATCCGAAACAATTTTCAGCACGCTTTACTCTCCACTGATCGTCCTCCACAAGAAAAGGCACTTTGCGAGCAGTGAAACGCGGTCGGTGCGAAAACGCCGCGGTCTCAGAGGTCCCTTCCGCTGGCGTCCCCTTACGGAAACGCCTCCATGGGCCCCGTCCGCCCTCCAGGCGGACCTCCCCTGGAGGGCGGCGGCTCTCTCCGGCCCCCGGGGCCCTGGGGCGAAGGCCTCGACTCGCAGCTCGATTTTGGAGTCCCGAAACGGTGAGGTGACAGACCGCGCGGTAACCTCGAAATACCCCAAGACCTCACCGCACGGTCCGTCACCGCACGGTCTTGGGACCCCGGAGGCCCCTGTCGCCCGAGACGTCCTCGGAGAACGACCCGAGTGCCAAAACCGTGCGGTGCCCCCGAATCCCCACCGACTCACCGCACGGTGTGGTCACCACCCCGTTTGGGGGCCCCCGATCGATGGGGAGGCCAAAGCGTACCGATACCGCTACTCCCCCGACCTCTCCTGGGGTGTGTTCTGAACAGAATTTCGAGGCGAACCCCACGGCGGCGACGAGGGCCTCCGAGGAGGCCCAGCCAGGGGAAAAACGGGCAGAGGGTAGCGGAATGGGTACCTTTTCCTCCTCTGACTCGCACTCCTGCGGGTGACCAGCGCGCATCGTGCTGCCACGGGGAGCGAACGAACAAACGAGCCGCCTCCATCGCGCCGCGCCGGAGCGCGCCCACGGAGGGGAAGGGCACTGAGCTCATGACCCACAAGCTGCAGGCTGATACTGCAAAAAGCAGATAATGAGGAACGCTGAATAAGGATCGGCGGCGAGCCCAGGAGAGAAGCGAGAGGGGGCAGGCCTTCCTCAAAGGCAGAGGGGCTTCTCGGAAGCCCTGCGGCCTCCTGAGAAGCGGTCTCTGCCGCCGGAAGAGGCTCAGAAAACCTCTTAGACGGCGCGAAGGTTTCTGATTTGGACGCCCGAAATGGGTACGGAAAAATGGGTACAATGCTCAACAACAAATGTTGTCCCAAACCAACAGCGGCCGCTGTTGGGCAGGCGGCCTTCTGTCTCAAATGTACACAGGCCGCGGCGACACCGACAGCGAGTCCTGTTCAAAATATACAGGAACTGCTGCTGGGCATTGTACCCCTTCTTTCCGTACCCATGTCGTTCGTGCCGATCCGAGAAGCCGCGCCGCCTTCCGAGAAGGCCAGCCCCTGCCTCGCGCAGCCCCACGTGCCTCGGAGGGGCTTCTCGGAAGCCCTGCGGCCTCCTGAGAAGCGGTCCTTGCCTCCGGAAGAGGCTCAGCAAACCTCTTGGAGACGGCGCGAGGGCTTCGGAGAAGCCCGGCCGCCTTCGGAGAAGGCCAGCCCCAGCACGGAGGAGGAGGAGGAGGAGGAGGAGGAGGAGGAGGAGGAGGAGGAGGAGGAAGCCTCGCAGCCCCACGTGGCTCGCCGCGCCAGAAGGGGCGAAGGGGGGCGTTTTCTGCTGGCCACGGCGAGCCCGGGCCACGGACCAGCTCTCCCCGGCCAGGAGCCGGGGAGCGGGGCCCGGAGGCCAGGCAGTTTTGAGCAGGACCGACCGCCCCGGCATTCCTATAGGCCACCGCAAATCCTCCTCCTCATCCTCCTCCTCCTCCTCCTCCTCCTCCTCCTCCTCTTCTTATTATGTTTATTGTTCTTCTTCTTATTATTATTCCTCTTATTACTATTATTGTTTGTATTCCTCTTATTATTATTCTTATTAGTATTAGTATTATTATTAATCGCATTATTATTCTTATTATCCTTATTACTATTATTATTACTATTATTATTAGTATGAGTAGTATCATTAGTATTATTATGAGTATTATTATTATTATTATTTTAATTATTATTCTTATGTTTCTTCTTAATATTGTTCTTAATAGTCTTATTATTACTGTTCTTCTT